TTGTCAAACCACGAAACTGAAGATCAACAAGATCTGATTTCTACCACGAAACACGTGCAACCAATAATGGACCAAAGCATAAGGTTAATATCCATTCGAACTTAAAAATGCCAACATCCATTAGTAATAATGGCCTTTGCAGAAAACAGCATGTCAGTTGCTAACGAAGACTGATGAACATAAGAATGACACACAAACACAAGACTGATATCAATTGAAGTTTAAAAATGCAAAAAAAATAAAAATAAAAGATAAAAAATTAAAGAAGTTGAGCTCCAGAAACTGGAGAACCTCTTCATATCTTACCTCAACTATGGAGACCGAATTAATTGCCATCATATCATAGATGAGATATCTCCTTTCTTGCTTCCGCGAGTCAGGCACGGTATCAATTATCATTTCTCCATCAAGTAATGTGAAATGATGAACCTTCTCAGCTGATCCCTTGTAGAGAAACACAAGGGTGCAAGATCAAAATCAGCGAAGGAGAAATTCAATTGTGAGGCCAAAAACTGAAATCACCAGATGGGTTGAGTAAGCACTCATACTTCATTAGTCTGTCTGCAAGGAAATCTCATCTGGACCCTTCTGAAATGGAAATGTCGATCAATTAAGTAGCATCCATCCATAGTTATTAACATCATATACCGTGTTCCATCAGCTTTCCAGGTGGCGTAGTAATAACGTTGTCTTAACAATTGTAACTTGTCCCTGGATGAAAAGGATGAGAAAACTCAAGCATAAGCTGGTAACCTTCAAGGTACCGACTTTTAAGTAAATTCAAATATACCAAACTGTACCCATTGCGATGCAAAAGATAGAGCAATCAATAATATCATTGTGGTTGTTAAAAGTATAATGCAACTGGTCCACTCATTTTTATAGATAGGCTCAGACAAAGCGAGATAAGAAATCAAGAAAATATATAGTAAAAAGAATTGCTAATATAACTATTGCTTTTTTATTCCAGTTCTTCTTAATTAAATGCAGAGATCATGATGCTCAAATAAGGTGTAACGAATACCAGGATGGAATTTTCAAAAGCTATTAGTTTTCAGATACGCTCTGATTTTATTTACTTGCCATTTTCCAGCAGTGAATGAGAACCAGGTGACTGCGTGGCTGGATGCTGGTGTGGGTTTAAATCTCTTGAAGAAGGCTTGTTTACTTAAATATTTATATCTTAATGGTTCAGACCACATAAACACAAACCATCATACTCCACTGAAGTAACAAAATCGTTTCAGACTAGTCATGAATTAGTTATGCGAGGCCGAAATTAATGCTGACAAGCGATTCTCTTCTGTGTCAAGCACCAACCACATTGATGTAGAATGGTATAGGAAAACAGATAAAAACAAAGGAAGGAGAAAAACAATTGGGAAAAGAATCTAGATAGAGAAAGACTAGTAGACAGAGAATTCAATAATTTTGAATATCACCATTTAATGTCTTAATTGTTCAATATCAATAGTCCTACTTGTATGTAAAAATCCTATCGAGAATGAGAAACTTAGAAATATAACAATTCGAACATTTTCCAATTTAAAACCTAAACAATCTAAATTATGTCCTAAGAAGAGCTGAATATTTGCATTGCAATCCCTATAGTTAGGAATAAAATCTTCACAAGCTTCCCATCTATGCTGCAAATATTTTTCCAAAAAAAAAAAAAAAAAA